TATGTTGAACTTCTCATTCTTCATCTGTAGAAGGTTTATCTTTAACCTTGATAGGCTTATACAAATCTTTGCAATAGATCAAATCTTCCATCATACGTCTCCAAGTAGAATAATTTGATGAGTTCAATTTAATCATACCATCTGACTGTTCCATTTCAATCACACAAGAAAAAAATAGCACCAAATAACCTTGCTCCGATACCACTTGTTGGGAAAAACCTGTTAAAGCAGAATAATTCTTTTCCCTCTTTGTGTATCAAAATGGTTTCCTCATCAAAATACAAACTTTATATCAAAATGCTAATATCAACCAGAATAACATAAATAATATAGCAATAAATTAATCACATAGTGAGATCAAATTTTTAATGTGGAAAACCAAATATGGGAAAAACCACGGGACCTAGTCCATCTTAAACTTCCATTATCAATAGTAATGATAACAGATTTATAATAAGTCTTCTCTAAAATAGCAAGAGGATCACAATAACATCAAGATCATATATCCTGGCTCAAGCGCGTGTAGCAGCGACGGCGCACAACGAGAGGAAAGAACAAAGAAAGAAAAAGGAGAGAGAAAAAATAGGACTTTGAGTTTTCCACTTGATGATCAGTGGCCAAACATTATTAGTTTTGGCCTAAATTTTATGCAGAGAATTCTTGCAGCAAGCTCTATAATCCTAATGGTGTTGATCTGTACTTTATACTCTCTGAGGTACTTTCCTGCTATACCCACTTTGTGAGACCTAAAATTCTTTTATGATGAAATCCATCAATATGATGAAGATATACTATTCTTGAGCTAAGATATATGATCTTGATGTTATTGTGATCCTCTTGCTATTTTAGAGAAGACTTATTATAAACTTGTTATCATTACTATTGATAGTGAAAATTTAAGGTGAACTATAGTCCCGTGGTTTTTCTCGCATTGAGTTTTCCACGTTAAAAATTTGGTCTCACTATGTGATTGGTTTATTGCTCTATTATTTATGTTGTTCTGGTTGATATTAGCATTTTGATATCAAGTTGGTATTTTGATGAGGAACCATTTTGATATACAAAGAGGGAAAAGAATTATTCGCTTTAACAGGTTTTTTCCTAACAGGGCCCTAGTACCGCCAGCTAGGAGGATGCCCTTCAAGAAGTGGAGGAAGACATCGCTGATCTCGACATAGTCCTCAACGATGGCAACACACCACAGGGAGAACCACCAACGACCGAGCGCCAAGGCATCGTTGAAGAGGTCGAGAACGGGTGGAGAAGGAGAAGGGTTCTCGGCATGAGGTTGGGAATGGGTGGAGAAGGAGAAGGGTTCTCGGCGTTAGCTCAGGACAAAATTGCTCTGATACCATGTTAAGAATAACAATGAAACGAAGAAAGATATCTGATATGGTATTCTCTATTTATACACATAAAGAGAGAGGATTTTCCTCAACAGAGTAACGAGATTTTCTGTAGTTGACAAAATCTCGATAGCTATCATAGAAAATCTTAGCTGCTATCAAATATATGGATGGATTTATATTTGTGTGCATCTTATATTCTTTGCCATTTAACTAAAATTGTTAATTGGCAAAGTTGAAGTCCTATTTTCTTTAGTTTTTAGGTGAGTGTTTTATGGTTGGTTTTACTACCTTTGTTTTAGATTGGTTGATGGACCTACAAATTGAGGGTTGAAAAACTCGTGAACCAAATTATGTAAAAATGATCAACACAAAGGGAGCAAGTAATTAGGACTTTCGGGAATGTGGATGAGGCATTGAACTTAAGATTGATAGCTACGGAAATGGCCAGTTTATCTGCAAGGATAAAGTAACAATGATGATTTGGGAGTGAGGTAAAAAGAAGACGGAACAGTTAACTTTGATACCCAAGAGACGACCCATGGAAGTGGACACACATGGGAGAGTTCATTTATGGAAGTGATCTCTTTTCCTTGCAAGTTCCTTTTTCCTTTTACTCGTGAGTTGTTTTTATTTTTGTCTTTTTATTTTTATTTTTGTTTTTTTTGTAAGGACAATGAAATTTCAATTTGTGAATTTATGATCCTAATGATCGTCTAAAGTTGGAAAAGGAACTCTTTTTGGAGACTCATCAAATAACGTAGTTTAAAGTACTTGGTTATGGACACGTTTAATGGAAAGCTAAAGATGTCCTAAACGAGGTGAGTCGAAGAACTAAATAGTACTTTATGAAGAAGATGGATTAGCATATCTTGCGGATGTTGATAAGCTAGAGTGATATAAGTTATGTTTTCAGGGGATTTCACTGAACTCCTTGGATGATTTATTGACCATTGTGCTAAGCTCTTATGCTCTGCTACTCCTCTTTCTGTTTATTTTTTCTTAAATTCTCGTTGCCAAAGGTGTAATGTGGGCTGGGTAGCATGTGGATCAAATGAGTTCCTCAAATGAATGCCACACAGCCTGTAAAGTTGACGTGATGCCCATGCAGATGGATGGAGATCTTCAAAGAGAAAAAGACCACTGTTAATTGTAGGAAGCAATCCACTCCTGACAGTTATATTACTTTGGCATAGTATGGTTATAAGAAATTTATGTTGCATAATGTAGTTGTGTGAATACAAATTTGCTCTGCACTTTTTGGAATTGAAAAACATATTTTTAGGTTTCAGATTTCTTTAACATTATTCCACAAGTGTCATCAAGTTACGAGTTCTTGTGCGGTTTAAAAATGGCATAGCACTTGTGCCAGTTGAGGGAAGTAATAAACTGCAAAGAAGATTATGATTAAGACTATTCATTTACACGAAGCATTATATGCACATAACTTCAACTTCGACAGTCAGATGTTCTTTAGGGTGGTTCTTCAGACTATAGCTCTAGATGTCTATCCTCTCCATGTTATCTTGAATTCAATGGGAGATAGCATCAGTGACATCACATTGTGTACCCAAAATATGCTTTTATGTATAGTCAACATTCAACCATACATTATGTGTCTCAACAAAACTGAACTGTTTTTAGTTTCTTGAACTTGTGGTGGGTAACAAAGAAGTTTTTATTTGACTTTGCTTCTCGATGGTCTGTATATGATTGGATTTTCTTTACTTAATGCCGCAATCGGTGATCTCAGATCCTTGGCTTATAGGTGGAGCCATTAAATCATAGTGTCTAATTATACCGTTCTGTGATGGCACAGGTCTGGGATTCTGGGGGGGACAAGAAAGGCTGAGAACGTCATGGGCAATGAATGTATAATTGAGGGACTGATGCCATTATTGCTGTGATAGACAGTACTGACCGAGCCAGGTTGAGCTTTTCCGGCCGCTGCAGCACTGGGACCTCGAGCATACTGTGGTCCTTGTGTTTGCCAACAAGCAGGATCTCAAGGATGCCATGTCGCCTGCCTGCCGAGGTAACTGATGCTCTTTCCCTCCATAGTATTAAGAATCATGATTGGCACATTCAGGCCTACTGCTGTGCCCTCACAGGTGAGGATTCGTATGATGGCTTGGGATGGATCGGTAAGCCAACAAGGTGATATTAGGTCTCGGACTTTCAAACTCACATCGTCTTTACATTCCCTTCAACATTGAACTTGGTTTCGAGGTTGTAGATATCCTTCCTGTATACTCTAGTAAAATCTATTGGCGAGCAAAAGAGTGATGTCCCATTTATACGCTGAGCAATTCAGAACACAATTCTTTCCTCAACTCGGTCAAGAATTGTGTTTAATTAATAGGTTTTACATGGATGCAAGGAGCATTATCATAGCTTTGGTATTGCTAACTCGATGGAGTTAGATCATGGCAAAAAATCTTTGTTAATGGGGCATGCAATCTTGCGAATTGATGTGGTCGACGATTAATAGTGCATTGCATGAGTTTTAGAACTTGGATAGCTTTGTTGTAGCTAACAATCGGTGCAGTAATTGTGGAAAAATAAGAGTCTTGCTGCGACAAAATACACAAGTTCGGGAACATCAGAAGAGAAATCCACCAGTTCATACTTGGGTTTTTCTTCCCTCACGAGGAGGACAAAACAAGTACCGGAGAAGAAGAATCGTGTGTCATGAACTCTCAGGTCGGATGATCTCCTTCTCTAGTTTCAATGCATCACGTCTCTCTCTGTTTTCTCTTCTTGAGTTTGATCCCGGCGAGATGTACGTGTAGAGAGGAAAAGTTTGGGGATGACAGAGTTGTTCCGTATAGGAAACGTGTTATTTCTCTTACACGAGATGCACACATTCTCATGGGCAAAGCGACGGTGCATTTGTGCAACCAAAAAAAAGTCTCAAAGCAACAACAAAGTCGGAAAGTAAGATAAGAAGAGGATACAGAGGAACAATATTGACTGATCCTAACGTTTTCTCTATCAAAGCATAGAGGGATGGATTATAAAGAAAAGTTATTATTATTATTATTATTTATCAATGTTTGTGTGATAATGTTGAACTGAAGAGAACATTTCCTTACAGTTTATTATTCTGACACAATAAATAATTTGAGATTTACGGTGTTAGCTTTTGGGTTTGTATTTTCTTGATGGTTCGTTTGGTACCAATATTTTGACGCGATTATAGACATGAATCATTGTATGACCCCCCAAATGATGGGAAAAACTTGTAAATTACCCCAAAACTAAACTATAGGTGGCCACTTAATTTTTGGTAGATCATAGTTTTCGCCACTTGAATCCTAATCATTGGGACCGCCAAGAAATAAATACAATCATTTTCTCTGAGGGAAACCCAAAAAGAAAAGAATCTAAACTTGGATTTGGATTTTAGAGTCAGATTCTTTTCCACCTAAAAAGAAAAAAGCATCAGCATCTCAAGCATTAAAAACGCGAGAGGATTGACGAACTCATGGGGCGGCAATTCCTCTTCCTCCTTAAGTAAAAGAGAATAGAACACTTTCCCTTAAAAAAAATTAATTTTTCGTTCTGATATCATATTAAATTTTTTTAAAAAATCAATACTATTATATCTTAAAAAGAAAAAAAAATT